AGTACAAGTCCCATTAGGCATTAGGCATTAGCGACAGAGATTCGGGGAAGCAGCAGCAGTATTCGGAATGCGGTGGGCTCAGCCTCAGCCACAGTGACTTGTTCCATCAGCGCCACCGACGACATATGCGTTTGGTTTCGACGTCATAACCCCATTCAATCCTTAACACGTGGGATGTTTTCGTGTTGCCATGTCACACAGCAGTCAACGTGTACGATCAAGGTCTGCTACTTGGTTGTCTTGTAGCTGTTAAGTTGCGTGTGCCATTCCAGAGGGTCAGACACAGAGAGAGAGAGAAGACTGTAGGGGAGAGAGAGATCCCAATTCCCCAACTCCAATGAGGCTGGGTATATGGAACCTTTGGGCGCATGATAGCAATCCCGGTTAAAAGGGAGGAGACGACTTCAGGGAAAGGAAATGCAACAGAATTGTCACCTTACATGCCTTTCAGTTCGACTGTCATTTTCGGAGCCAAAATTAAAGCCCAGCGTCATTTTGGGCCCAATTTTAATGGTCTTGTGAAAAATAAATAAATAAAAGAAATCCGCTTGTCTCTTCATATTAAAAAAAAAAAAGTTGATTTTGGTTCCAGTGTTGCAGCTAGACATGAATCCCCCATCTCACGGGTTGGGCCCTACTTTGTGGAGTCAGCCAGAAAAAAACGAGGAAGAACAAAGTCTGATAGTGTGTCCCAGTACAAAATTTAAAAGGGCTTATTCCTTTGAACAGATTCTTCTGCCACCCCAGTAAGTTGCCAGCGTTACTATTACCCCATTAAATTAAAGAGAGGCAGAAGCAAGGGATGTATCATCCAAACTCCAAAGTTCAAACTTCAAACAATGGGTGGGTGGCACGCTTAATAGTAAATTATTACATCCGATGCTGATGGAATTCATTTAATAGGTGTAAAGTTGAAGAAATCGATTTCCTCGATCAACAATAGAATGATATCACAAGGGTTTGGGGAAAAATAATTGCCACGTCAGTAAAATTGTAGTGTTCCTGCTGATATGGCAACTGATCAGCCTGTCAAGAATTTGTGAACTTGAGGGGTTTGGTGAATCACCAATATTTTCTCCATTTTAGTGGAAACAATGTTGATAAATTAGGCCATGTTTGATTCATTGTTCTGGGCCTCATTCTTTTAATTCTTGTTTATTTTAGGTAAGAATAGATAAAAATTAATAACATTAGAGTGTTCGATTACAAAATTCTTGTCATGGACACACTCTTTTCAGAATGAAAAATCAGTCCAATAAGCACAAAAATTGAGTAGCCTACAACATGAAAAATAACCATGCCCTATCTTGTTTATTTTCATTATTTGAGAAAACTTTGACTACAAAACTATTGCCATAAATGTTTACTTGTGCGAAAGCACTTTTACAAAAACACTTCTATAAAAATAAATTTACAAAAAATACTTTTATGAAAGTAAAATACTTTTACAAAAACAATGCTGTATAGACGATACGCTTTCTCAGAAAATGTTTTATCAGATTTTTTATTTGGTACTAGAATTGTTATTGATATATAGTCATTTTTCAATGTAAGGTGAATATACTGTAGGTAGCAATAGTAAAAAAAGCAAGAAACACCAAAATGGACATTTTTTCTTACCACATCTTTCCCCATTTCCAAGGTATGATATAATAAAAAAAATTACGGCTAATCAAATATCAAGCATTTTTTGAAAAATAGATTTCAGATATGGCACTAATGTGGTACCGTTTTAATAAAGAAATAGTATTGATGCCAAATGCATACTTAGATAATCAAATAATTAATATGACAATTTTATAAATAGGAATCGACACATCCGTTCCTCTAATTTCTTAAAAGAAAATACGTGTTTTGGTAGAAATACTATGAAACAACTTGTGTAGAAAACATGCAATTATCAAAAGAAGAAAATAAAGGAAAGTTTACACATTATTAACATGAACATGTCAAAAATTGATTCGAAATTCACCCCATTTCTGGAAGTCATCTCCTGGAGTATTTGGCATCAATCGTAAATCACTAAAAATCAATACTAACCAATTCCTCTACTAATTTTGAGGAAGTAATCTGCTTAAATGGAACTTCACATGATTTAGTCAACTGATGTGGCAATTTTATAAATCAGAATAGACAAATTGATTCCTGCAATCAAACATATATACTCTAATAAATCCAAGGTGCTTATCATACAATATATGTGGCAAATAGAATTGGAGATTTACTCCTCATATTCCTCTTACACGTGTCCAGACACAGGGCACTTTTGTCTTCTTATGTATATATAACTTTGTGTGTAGAGGGTACATTGGGAATAAGAAAGATTATACTATATATGTGCGAGAATCAATAGTTTGTTGTTGTTTTCGAGCTTACACTCAGACGGTAGTAATTTGTTTTTTCTAATGGACGGATTTGGATTCATAAATGTCTTGTTCAAGCGACTCGGGTTTTGGGCATAGTCTATCTCCCAAACCGATCATTCCATTCTTTGATAGAAAATTTATTGAAAGTTGAAGCGGGTTGTTTCATCTGAAATCACATTACCTTGGTGTTTTGGCCACAAATGACAAATCCCTTTCGGTGGTGTCAAAGTTACACTGAAATGGGAATGAATCATAGTAGAAGGGATGGCCGTAATTTGTCACTGGAACATGCTATTTTGTAATCACTCGAGTATATACATTTATAACACCGCAAAAGTTAAAAACTGAGTGCCCTACCTACTTACAAGCACTCAATAAGAGAATTCATCTATAAGGCAATAATAGTTCTACAAAACATCACTGTTTTTTTCTTTTTTTTTATTATTTATTCCCAAATTAAACTAATAAAGATAAAGAAAAATGCATATGGAGGGGTTGGTTTTGCTGGACCACTTGAAGGACAACCCCGGGACAATTTAGCTTTATACAGACATTGTGGGTGGGGGTTGGCTTCAACCCAAGTGGATCAATCTTACATTAAATGAGAGATGTCCGGTTGTGATGTTGTTTGGATACAAGAGGTCCAAACACTTGGGGTCGACGTGGCTCTCTGTTTTCCTTGCTGCATGCCTGCCAAATCTCTCTCTAGGGTCTGTCTCTTTCTGTATGGTACACACTCACTCCAGTACTGTTAGGAATGTCTTGTTTGAATTGTTTAGATAATATGTCTCACTCTCTAGCTTGGTTGTCCCAGAATCCCCCACCCAAGGTTTTTTTTCACTTTAGTGTTCGTGTTCTCAGCGTTTTATCGTCCCTAAAACTGCATATGTTAGATTGTCCGCCTATTCCTTCCCATTTCCAAAGCCTGAGAGGATCCATGCATTGAATTGAAGATCACCCATCTGCATCATCATCTTCATCTTTATTATTATTATTATTATTCTTATAATTTTTTCTTCCATCAATCTCCTTCACTCCCCATCTCCTCATACTAACCCGGTGGCTCGGCCTCCCCGGTCCGACCAATTGGCTCAAACAACCCAATCCATCCCATCGGGCCATTTAAAATTAAATAACATTATTTATAGGCAACATTCCACAATTCTTATCAATATCTAACTAACTAACTAACTAAACCAACCAACCACCTCCTCTACATTCTTAAATGAGTCTAACCATCTGCCATGATGATCTATCCATAAGTTATAAATAGTTAGTAATCCTTGATTCGTCCTTCCAACCATTCCTAATCTGTTTTATTTCTTTTCCTGGGTTTGGGTTGATCTAACCAACCTATTGGACCATTTTTTTTATAAGACACGATATCTGAAAAACAAACTGATCAATAAATTTGAATCATAAACATGTTCATGAAAAATGAGTTTTGATTGGTCAAAACTCTCATCTTCTCCGCATCATAGATTTTCACATGAATTAATTGCAGCATGTTAGATCTTGTATTTTGCCCAACGGGCCCCTGTTTCTCAAAGCAAAACAAATTGATCCAATTAAAATATAGACAACCAAAATCAAAATTATCCGGGTTTCAAAGCTGATCCATCCAGCTCAAACCCAACCCGATTGGTTGCAGTGGCAGTCCCAACAAATAGAAACCTCTTGAGTATGCAGTTAGTCCACGTAATATCCAGATTTATTCTTTTATTATCATGCACGTGGATGTTGTATTTAATGCATCACCCAAAAGGCCAAGAGGCTTTGCCTTCTTTATTTCCTTGCCTTGTGGATGAATCATGAAACTCTGGCTTGGCTTTAACCAGTTTTGATACTTTTGATTCATTGAGCGAGGCGGCTTGGATCTTGATTGGTGGTCTTCCCATGCATTAGCATTGGGCCGTGGTGGCGTACACCTGTGGATAAGATACGGATGATGTATCACCCCAGCGTACTGTTCATAGTGAGAATCGTAGTCCTCATTAAATACCCATCCGATTAGAATCTTCTGTTGTTGGTGCATGGGGCCTACGTTTCTAGTTGCGACTGATTCCGCAGTATATCGTCTTCGTCGCCCCCCGACCAAAAAGTATGGAAAAAGTATAACCAGGAAAACCAACAAACTAGAGTTAAAACATGGGTTAGATACTTGAGTTTGAGTTTGAGACGAGTATAGTAAAAACAAAATACTGTAGTTGATCATAGTTAGTTTTAACCATGGTTACCTGAATCGTCGCAACTAACAAGAAGCAGGATAGCCAGGCAGGAAATTTTTTGTTTTTTTTTTTACTGTGGTTAAGCGCTTCTGTAATTTCTAATTTCTACTACTTATTTTACTGATTAAAAAAAGTTAAAAACAAACTACTTCGGAGTCTACAGCAGTCCATGAACAAATTTTCACGTTGCTCTGTTTCGCCTCGCACCTGGCGATATTTTCAATATATCGCGAGATACTGTCCCCAGTTCAAACAGCGAAGACCTTTGCCTTGGCTTTTGTTGAGAATGGCTAATTACCTATTTAATACTTAATTAATTAATAATTAACTAATTCCTTGTTTTGTTCTTTTTCCTTATTATTTTAGTTTAATTTAAATTCTGTGCTACCTTCTGATATTTCTGTTTGTTGTTTTCTTTGTTCACTTGCGCGAGGGGGAGAGGGGGGAGATAAAAAGAGAGAATTTTCTTCAGATCTCAAGTAACAGATAAGAATGAAAATCAGGTAGGAGAGACCTGATCGATCTTAGCTTTTGTTTTGTAATTTTATGATCGAAAAAGCGTCGATGCGGATGAAATGTTGTGGAATTTTCTTTATGGTTTCTGCTGAAATCCGGTCGGTGCCAAAGCTTCAGGTGTGAAGCCGCTTTCGTGAGTTCAATCAGAAAGCCCGTAAACAAAGAGGAAGAACAAGGGGAGGAGGAGGTCTGGAGGTGAAGTGAGGTTTTCACTCCAACCGTTGGAATCTTCTTCCTCTCACAGCTCTATTTTTTCTCTCAAGCACTGCTCAATTATGGAACATGGACGGCTGCCTTCAGGCTTCAGCCTTCTGACGTGTGAAACCCATTGAAGGAGGATCGTACGGAACGACAGTTTTTGCTCGCAGGGTGGATGCATTCGGGGGGGTCTTGTAATCCACTGTTAAACGAGGGTTCGTTAGCGTAGCACTCAGATTGCTAGAATTACCGGGGGGAAATCTCTGACAAACATGGATTTCTGCAAAGTTCTCAGTAGATCTTGCCTTTTTGCAAGTCCAAGTGAGGTTTCTGTTTTGAATCTCGTTGAATAGCACGGAAGGTTTATGAACCCCTGTTCGCGGAAGTTCTGCCGCGTGAAATCTCTTGGGATTCCAGTCAAGCGAGCCTGAAGTTAGGGTTTTGTTATATGCAAATCTTTGAAATTCTGAGACCGGAAATTTGAACGTAGAGAGTAAATGTACGGTCTGGGCTGTTAAAGGAGTCAGAAGAAGCTCAAAAGGCGTTACTTGGTGAAAAATTAGCTTTGCTTTTGTGTAACACTGAAGATAGGTTGAAATGGTGAAGAAGCCGAATAGAGCCGTAGGACTTGGAGCCTGAAAGGTCCGGAAAGCTTTTTGAGCATCTGTCTCTTTTTATCATTCTGGGCTTTTGCTTTTGAAGAGAAGAGGCTTATCTGTATTCTTTCCGTATAGATTTCTCTGCAAAGTTATCCTTTCATCTCTGTTTCGGTGAAAATTCTTTTGATTAGTATTATCTTGCTGGAATTTCTCGCATGAGAGAAAGGTAAGAGATTTAAATCTCTCTGCCTCTTTGTTCAGTTAAAAAAAAAAAAATCAACTCTTCTGCTTTATAGTTATAGCGCTCTCTGTCTATCTCCCCCTCCAGCTCTGGCTCTGCGTGTGTTTCTTTTTTTTTTTTTTTCAATTTCCCGTTTATGGTTGTTTATCCCTAAATACGTACATTTATTCTTTCTTATTTACAGGCTTCCTTGAGAAATAGGCATCAAGAAAGTATTTTATGCATTGAAGATTGCTGTTATCATCTTGAATGCAATGATCACATTCACCGATTCCATGAAAGAACCAGTTAAGGAAACGGAGAAGTGCCTGGATTCTCAACTCTGGCATGCCTGCGCCGGAGGGATGGTGCAGATGCCACCGGTCAACTCCAAGGTCTTCTACTTCCCTCAGGGCCAGTCGGAGCATGCTCATGGGAACGTGGATTTTGGAAATTCCCAAAGGATCCCGGCGCTCATCCTCTGCAGGGTGGCCGCAGTGAAATACATGGCGGACCCTGAGACCGACGAGGTTTACGCAAAGATAAGGTTGGTACCCCTTAGGAACAACGAACCTGAGTACGATGACGATGGAGTTCTTGGGAGCAATGGATCTGAGGTTCCAGAGAAGCCTGCGTCTTTCGCAAAAACTTTAACGCAATCTGATGCCAATAATGGTGGAGGTTTCTCTGTTCCTCGGTACTGTGCAGAGACAATCTTTCCTCGCCTTGACTATTCTGCGGATCCTCCCGTCCAAACTGTCATCGCCAAGGATGTTCATGGCGAGGTTTGGAAATTCCGGCATATATATAGAGGTACCCCACGCCGTCATCTCCTAACAACAGGATGGAGTACCTTCGTGAACCAGAAGAAGCTCATTGCGGGGGATTCCATTGTGTTCTTAAGAGCAGAGAATGGTGAACTCTGTGTTGGAATCCGAAGGGCAAAGAGAGGTGTCGGTGGTGGACCTGAATCCCCATCTGGGTGGAACCCAGCTGCTGGAAACTGCGTCTCCCCATATGGGGGTTTTTCTGTCTTCTTGAGGGAGGATGAAAACAAGCTAATGAGAAATCCTAACGGCGGGAATTCAAACTCCGGTGGGGGTTTGAGGGCAAGGGGGAGAGTGAGGCCTGAATCTGTTACAGAGGCAGCAACTCTAGCTGCCAACGGGCAACCCTTTGAGGTTGTTTACTACCCACGAGCAAGCACACCAGAGTTTGTAGTGAAGGCATCAGCCGTAAGGGCAGCAATGAGGATCCAGTGGTGCTCAGGGATGAGGTTCAAGATGGCATTTGAGACTGAGGATTCTTCACGGATAAGTTGGTTCATGGGAACTATATCTTCTGTTCAGGTTGCTGACCCCATCCATTGGCCTAATTCACCTTGGAGGCTGCTTCAGGTGCAGTATCTGTTCATCTGTGTGTTTTTTTTTTATATATATAGAAGTGTGATTGTTTCTTTTCTCTTATTCGCATCCCTTTTTTCTCTAATTCTGAAGCATTATCAGTGCTTTATCTTTGCCCTGTTTTGAGACTAGCGGATTGTGGTTTTGGCATTTAGGCCATCTGGCTATTCTTCTAATGTTAATTGCTTGTTTTGGAGGACCAAAACTTGTCTTATAATTCATAGGATAAACTTCAGTGCAAGAAATGGCCTTTCCCTTTTAGCTCAATTTTTACTTTGAGCAATTTTGTTTAAGGCCATTAGTGACACTATTTGTTTATGATCCCAACTTCTGAGGCATCACCTATTGTAACCTGGGTGACCAGGGTTCAAATCTTGGAAACAGCCTCTCTGTGTATTGCCAGGGGTAAGGCTGTCTCTCCCCAGAGGCCCAGACCCTGCAATGGCTTTATTTTATGATTGGCATGGTTTGCCTTCACCGGGGAATCTATAGGATGCATGGTATTCTACATGAGTGCCATGCAGATCCTTGCAGCCTCTAATTGATTGTTAAGGTCCTTAAGCCGCTTCTTCTGTTTTTGTTGTTGCTTTTGATGAATATATTTTATACGTGTAGCCCACAACTGTTATCTTGCAACCCAATTGAAGGACACACCACTTTTTACCATATTAACAGCTCTGTTATCCGGGTACAGAGAACATTGGGTCTTGTTACATGGGTTTCCTAATCTAAAATCAATTCAATCATGGAAGAGATCCCAGTATCTGATTGTGCTGGTAGTCCTACTTAGTAAATTGAGCAATTTATGGGTAGCCAAGGAAAACTTACCATAACATGTTTTTGATTGTTGTACCCTGTTTCTCAGTTGTTTAAAAGCATGGTCTATTGATGTTTGTGGTATCTATAGCCTATAGGTGTAAGATAAAAGCTAATGGTTAATATTGCTACTCCTGAGTCTTGTCGTTTCTAGGACCATTCTTACTAAAAATTTATATTACAGGTAACATGGGATGAACCTGATTTGCTGCAAAATGTGAAGCGTGTCAGTCCTTGGCTGGTAGAATTGGTGTCCAATATGCCAGCCATTCATCTTTCACCCTTCTCACCCCCAAGGAAGAAATTGCGGCTCCCACAACACCCAGATTTTCCCCTAGATGGTCAATTTCCGATTCCTCCTTTTTCAGGAAACCCCCTCGGGCCCAGCAGCGGCCCCATGTGTTGTTTATCAGACAGCACTCCTGCAGGCATACAGGGAGCCAGGCATGCTCAATTCGGTATATCTTTATCAGATCTCCACCTCAACAAACTGCAGTCAGGGCTGTTTCCTGCCAGTTTCCAGCGGCTTGATAACAACACTACCCCACCGTCTAGAATTCCCAATAGCCTCAGCCTCGTCAAGGGCAACCCTAACAGCACTGAGAACATATCTTGCTTGCTTACCATGGGGAGTTCCACACAGAGTTCAAAGAAATCTGACAGTGCAAAGTCGCCCCAATTCTTGCTCTTTGGACAACCAATACTTACCGAGCAGCAAATCTCTCTTAGCTGCTCTGGAGACATGGTCTCACCAGTTCTTACAGGAAACAGCTCATCGGATGGGAACCTGGACAAGACAGCAAACTTCTCTGATGGTTCTGCATCTGCCCTTAATCAACAGGGCCTAGCTGATAATTCATGCCAAGGGTTTCCATGGTACAAAGATCGGCCTACAACTGATCTAAGTTTGGAAACTGGCCACTGTAAGGTATTCATGGAGTCAGAGGATGTAGGTCGGACTCTTGACTTATCAGTTCTGGGGTCATATGAAGAGCTATACAGAAGGCTGGCCAACATGTTTGGCATAGAAAGATCAGAGATGCTGAGCCATGTGTTCTACCGAGATGCATCAGGTGCAGTAAAACACACTGGGGATGAACCCTTCAGGTTAGAAACCTACCATCTTAAAATATTCCAAAGTCCTGCACTATTTAGAAGTCTGATGACATGTCCATCTTTTTTTAGGAGAGTCTGACATTTCAATCTTTTCCCTGTGGCATTGCAGTGAGTTCATGAAAACAGCAAGAAGGCTGACAATTCTAATGGATTCGGGCAGCGACAATTTGGGAAGGTAGAGTGAAAAGTAAAAAAAATAAAACCTCACTAGTTAAATGTACAGTCCGTGACCATTTTGTTCCAAATGCTAACCTATTTTGTTCTTTTTCGGAATTGTGAGGGAAAAAATGTTGATATCTGAGAGTGAAAACCCTTCTAAAGGAAGCTTCTTTTTTCTAGTTGAGAAAAGGCTCTGAGTTTCCGGTCTTTGTTAATGTCAAAACCTCAATGTGCAAATTTGTTCATCTTATTTATCCAGTTTCATTCAGAGAATTTGTACAAATACAAGTCTAAAATCTTTTTGCAGGGCATGGATCACAGGATTGCAGAATGCTGAAAATGGACTAAACGCATCTAATAAGACAGGCCCGTTAAGCATATTTGCTTGAGATAGGAAAAAGTTGGTCCTGTCCTTAAAAGAGAGGTCTTTTTTTTTCTGTGGGGGGGTAGAAGAGAGATCTCAAATTTGGGTACTGAAGATTTTGTTTTGATGAGTCACAGTGCAAATTTTTTTTCATTTTTTCGGTGGACGCGGAGATCATTTCAATATATATATATATATATATATATATATATATATATAGGAGTGGAGAGTGGACACACATTCCTCACCGTCTTGACTGGTAATTTCTAAATACATGACTGTTTCACTTCATTTTTAAAAATAGAATTGTTATCATGTTTACTCATTAAAGCAGTTGAACGCCCTGCCATAACAAGAAGGCTCCACGGTATATATTGGTTTCTTTCGGAGAGTGGAAGTAAAAAGGAGCTGAATGCTTTCTGGGAAGTTTCTTCTTTTTATTTTAAGAAGAGACATGATAACAGAATTGTTGGTTTATTCAACCCCCTGCAGCTTGGCTTTGCAGTAGTCTTTGTTCCATTGCATGTTTTAGGGATTTTGAATCCCAAGAATCCTCCCTCTCGGAGTTTGCTTGAAATTCAGTTTTCTATCAAGTAACGACTCGTGGATTTCTACGCGCCCGCTCTTGCCGGGTAATTAGTTCACTTTTTGTGATCGATCATCCTCCCGATCCTAACCTATAAACAATAAAGCTGGTCAATTAACAACATTTTGCTAAGTAATCACAAATACAAGCTCGGGACTAGTGTTTAATGTCTGAGATGCGTTGGGATATGCTTTAATGGTAAATAATACAAATACAGGTATGAGATTAAACGAGCCATCGATAAATCATAATCCAAATTAATAGACTTACGTAATGTGTTTTTGTTCACTAAAAAAAAAGTTGTTATGTACCAGACTACCAGAGTAGTCAAAACCAAACGCGGGTACTAATAATTGTCATATTCGGGATGTTTCGAGTCTTTGACCTGTTTTTTGGTATATTTTGGGCATTCCCTTAATAGACAGTTGAATGATTTTCTCCTAAAAAAAACATGAAAGACGGAGGAGATCAACAACAACCTGGGCGAGATTGTCGCTCTTTCTGTGGATGGTGAGAGAGTGCCACAGCATGGAGGAATAAATAAATAAAAGAGATGTTGATGTAGCAGAGGAAGCATGAGGAGCATCAAACAAGAAAAGGGGGGGAGAAGAGACGAGGAGGGAAGTTTCATACCTATTTCCTAAGGAGGATCCTCGTGGCAATGGACAGAAGCTGTTTTTGTCTATGTGGAGTTGGAGTTAATTATCGGGATTGTTAAATTAAATTAAAGAGACTCTGCATGGGAGGTTGGGTCATACGGTCGGCTATGATGCCTGCCTCTGCTTGCAGATTGCAGTGTCAGGAGGGAGGGATCCTCATGATTCCCTCCCTGATTCCTCCTAATGTGGCGTTTCTGATCGAGTTGTGACTTTGAGAGTTGAGAGTAGAGTTGAGACAGACAGACAAACAGAGAGAGAGAGAGAGAGAGAGTTGGGGGGAGGGAAGACTGATGACTGATGACTGATGACTGATGAGGAGGAACACATACACATTCCCCCACGTGAATAGCGGGACCCACAAAAGTGTAATGAAGAATCACGTGAGGCCTGCGTCAGCGAGTGCAAATGTTGCGCCGCTTTGGTGGCCGGGCCCTCTTCATCCGGTTGACTGCTGCACGCCTGCACACACACCCTCACTCACAACTCACCACACCAGTCACTAGAGAAAGAGAAAGGGAAAAGAACAGTCGCGCTCTCTCTCTCTCCAATGCCCCCATTTGTCAAGTTTCAAGTTTCAACACCCACCGAAACCGAACCGCAAGTCCGCAACCCAACCCAAACATTGCCATCTTTTTCCCATACCAAAACCCCTCCATTTTATAATTTATTTATTGAATCTTTCGTCCTCTTCAGAAATTCATATATAGTATAGCGCTTTCTCTCTCTCTCTCTCTCTCTCTCTTTGTAGAAAGATGGTTTAACCTAACCGTGGTAGCTTCCATCTGAGACTGAGAATGCGTCTGAGGAGAAACACACAGCCACACCCACCCAGAGATGGGCCACGTTGCACATGTTGAATGAGAATATTATATTTAATACAAAAAGAGCAGGGAAGAGGGTGAGTGGGAGCCGGACGGCTCAATCGCAACGCAATGCCCGCCCTTGTTGGACCCCATGAACATGCAAGTGTGTGTGTGTGTGTGATCTGTGATGTGGCCAAGGCCAACCAAACTATATTTAATAATAAAGAAATTAATCATCATCATCGTCAGAACATACGAGGGTGGTAAATGAAAAATAAGGCATTCTATTAATGATGGTGCAGTGGACAAGTAGTCGAAGAATTAGTTGGGTTGTTCAGTTTATTAGCTAGGCAGTCAAAAGCGCAGTACCAAACTACAAAGAAGAAGACAACAAATGGAGACATGCAGCGGCAGGGAGAGAGGGAGTTAATATAGAGACTCTTTTCCAACGCACAACTGTATACCCTTGTTTTCACTTCTCCCACATTATAATTAATTTTAAAGGAATATAAGCTGACCCCTTATTTCTTCTTCTTCTCAACCCTTGCCCTCTCACAGTCCTAACTATATAAATCCAACTCCTACTTATTATTAGATGACAAAGTTAATTTCCTTTTAACTTTTTCTCCCGATTTTAACTTGTTTAGTTACAAAATTTAACTCTTACAGTACAGTGGAAGTAAGATCTGGCCGGCCGGCAACCGTTCTGCTCGCCGCACCATAAGCTTACCACACCACCTTGATCCATATGTTGTTTTTCCCAAAATCCCAATTCAACGGTTCCACCCCACCACCAAATAAGTAAATAAACAAACAAACAGTACTCAAATAACAATAGTATATAGTATGAATGTATAGTAATAATGCATATGACCAACCTCAAGAAAAAAAAAAGGCACACAAAGGACACAAACTTCGAGTGCTCACATGTTTATCCCTTTTTGCCTTTTGACTTTGCTCATTCACCTTAATTGCTGTAGCCTGTAGCTCCGGATCGGATGGTTTAGTAGAGAGCAGGTAGCTATAAGCAGGCCTTGCCTTGTCTCTATTCTATTATTACTACCACTTTAGACCTTGTGTTAACTATTCAAGATAATTAAGTTAACATCAATACAATGTAGATGTAGATGTAGGTAGTATTAAATGAAGTTGACTGTTGATACCTTCTCCTCTTTAGTCCTTCCTTTGTTTTCTATACAAATTAACTATAATTACTATGTTTGAGTTTGATATGTTGGCATGCATACAACGTAGTCATTAGTCCGTTCTTCCTTCTAATTAATTATGTCCTAATGAAAATATATTACGTACATTATATGTGTTTTGTTAAAAGGGGGATCGGATCAAATCAAATAATCTTGGTCAATCATATACGTTTTTTTTTCTAAAGCTTAGAACATACGATACACAACCAAGCATGCATCTTGGATCTACCAATGCCCCTCTTGTGTATGCTTTTTAAGTTTTAACATATTCTTGTTGGAAACAACTTGTCAACTTTTCAAGGCATCACCACTTTTTGGGTGGCTTATTCTAATGAAGAAACACCAATATTGAACCAACAACTATTTAATTGTTGCATGCAATATAATCCATGGTGGATATATAACTATATAGGGTTGCAGATATCTTCATCTTCTGGATTATTACCAGTTTAATACTTATTGTCACCCTGATCAATCTACCATTTCTTTTGATTCCCTATCTCAATTCAATTGAACTGATGAGCTCCACTCAATAAAGCAAACAATTGATTCTATTTCTCTAATTAAATTTGAGATCCAGACAACCAGATCTATTATCAAACCCTAAATTAATTAAGGTTGATGGCCCTCTTAATTAATTACTACTTTATGCAATCTACCCAGGTCCAGTAATGGTCTTTAATGACCACTGTCTTAAACTAATTAAGCACATACATGCATAACCCTTTTAAATATTAATCTTGTAAAACTTACTCTACCATCTAGACTCATAAAAGGAGTTCATTAAAGAAGGGAATGGAAACTGCGAGAGTGCAGAGATGTCGAGAGTAGAGAGAGAGGTGGCGTTGAATTTGAGGGCGCTTCTTTCATGGACTTTCCTCTCATTCACAATTGAATCCAACCCAAGGTTGGGGTGGGGATGGGGGTTGTTACCAAGATCCAAGAATGCCACCCACCAATTAATCAATCTTTTAATTAATTATTTTTCCCATTTTTTGCAACTAAAAAAGTCAACCTCGAATTCAGCTTTCAAGCATCAAAAACTCCAACCCCACTCTTCTTTATTTTGAACACCAATTAAATATTTACGTTACACCAAAGAACATGGGCCGACAAATCGTGTTGTTGGTCGGGCTCGGAGCCTTCTGCCTCCTTACATTTCCCAAAATTAATTACACACATTTCTTTTTTTTTTGTATTAATAATATAAACTACCGGGGACCCATGCCATGCGATGTACGAGAAAATGAAATGTAATTTTTGATAAATTGTTGTAATTTATTTAGATTCATATTATTTGATAACTTGAAGTAATTATCATCCTAAGTTCTATTAATTTCTGGTAAATTCTATTATATAATAATTTATGATAATTCTTGGTAAATATAATATTTATGGAAATTAGTGGTTATTTTTGGCTAAGTTCTACTAATTTCTGGTAATTTCTATTATACTAATTTATGAGAATTCTTGATCAATATATACTTATTTTTTGTATTTATTATATGATAGTTTATTGGTCAATTACTGGAAATTAGTTCTATTATATAATTTCTATTATATACTAATTTCTTGGTAAACATATACTAGTGTATTATATTTATTATATGCTAGTTTATTGGTAAATTCTAGTAATTTGTCGATTTTATGGAATTTAGTGGCTATTTTTGGACATTTCTACTAATTTATGATGATTTTTGGCAAATTATTTTAATGTATTTAGGATTATATTATTTGATAATTTCAAGTAATTATCATCCTAAAGTCTACTAGTTTGTGATAATTTTTTTTGATTTATTTTTATTAATTTTTTATAAATATTGGTAATTTATGTCTAATAATGGTAATTTCTTTTAATTTATATTTGATAATTTTTATAATTATTTGGCAATTTTTATTGTTACATTATTTGACAATTTTAGGTATATCGGTTATCAAATTTCAAAAAAAAATCAAATAGCAATATTTTTAACTTACAATATGTAACAATCTTCAAAGCACAAAATCTATAAATGTAAACCAAAGCAATTCAAGGTTCAAAGTATTGACATGTATCGGCCGATATGTATCGTGCTGATGGCTTCCCGATATGCCCCTACAAGGGTTTGTACCGGGTCAGCCACTGGTTCAAAGGGTAGCCAGGCCTTAAACCGGCCCCTCTGAACCGATTTCAACAAAAATAAGTAAAACATAAAAAAAGCACCAACACAGGGTGTATCAACCCGTGTCGATATTTAGAACCTTGAAGCAATTCATTAAACTAAATG